GAATCCTCAGATTGACAATGAGCATGAGACCTGTCTCCTTCTGTCTTATATTCTTCTCTAGTGCTAAAATTAAAAGTGTGCACCACCATAGCTTGGCCCCTATGGTTAACTAGTGTAGCAGGTGGGATTAAAGGTGTTTGCCACCACTTACTGGCCTGTACTGCTGTCTAGTCTGACTGATTTGCATTGATCTTCAAGGAAGTTTTATTTCTTAAAACACAAATAATATACCTCTATAAAATGCAGTCAAGGACAGAAATCACATTCCACATTCCAATAGGTATAGAAAATGCATTTATCAAAATCCAACACCCTTAATGAAAAAAAGTTCTTGCAAAATTAGGAAGAGAAGTAAAGTATCTCAACATAATAAAGGGCATATATGACAAAGCTATGAGCAACATTACACTATGGGGAAAACAGAAAGCATCTTTATTAAAATCAAGAACAAGATAGGTTTCACAGTCTCTACTCATTTAACATAGTATTGGAAGTATTAGGGCAATAAGACTAGAGAACCAAGCAAAAGGAATAAAAATAGGAAGTAAAAAGTAAAAGTATCTTCATTGGTAGATGATATGATTTTATGCATAAGATACCTAAAAAATCCACCAGAAAACTCTTAGGGCTGACAAACACTTTTAGTAAAGTGTAAGGCTAAAAAATTAATACACAAAAATCAATAGCCTTCCCATATACCAATGACAGACAAAATAAAAAGAAATTAGATACACAACACCATTCATAATTACCTAAAAATACTGACTTTAATGAGTGTGGCTTATTTCACTTAAGATAATCTCAAGTTTCATATATTTTCTTGCAAATATAGTTTCATTCTTCTTTACAGCTGAATAAAATTACACTGTGAATATATGTCACACCTTTTTTATCAATTCATCTGCTGATGGGAATCTAGGTCGATTCCATGATTTGACTATTGTGAGTGCTTCTGTAATAAACATCAATGTGCAGGTATCTCTGTGGCACATTGATTAAAATGGTTTGGGGTATATTCTCAAGAATGTTACCGCTAGGTTATATGGCAGCTTTTTGAGCAAGTACAGTAATAGCTCTTGGCTTCAGAAAAAATATCTCTGTAAAATAAGGAGGTACAAGAGAAATTTCCATTTGTTTTGAATTATACTTTAACTATGTCTTATAACCTTAAAATAGCCTGTGAGTCAGACAAAGAAGGTAGGTATTATTTTCCTCATTTATGATTTAGGTCTAGGTTGTTCTGCTGGCTAGTTTTATATCAGTTTGACACAAAGTAGAATATTATGGAAGAGGGAACTTCAATTGACAAAAATCCCCTGCCAGATTGGCTTCTGATTAAAGATTGATGTGTGAGGGCCTAGCGCACTGTGGGTGGTGTCACCGCTGGGCTGGTAATTCTGGATGCCATAAGAAAGAAGGCTAAGCCAATTATGAACAGCAAGCCAGTAAATAATACTCCTCCATAGCATCTGTTTCAGTTTCTACTTCCAGCTTTCTTCCATGAGTTCCTGCCCTGACTTTCCTGGATAACAAACACCAAGTTATAAGTTATAAGATAAAAAATCCTTTTCTCTCCAGTTTTCTTTTGGTCATGGTGTTTATTCACAGCAATAAAAGCCCTAACTAAGACAGAAATTTGTATCAGTACATGGTGTATTGCTGTGACCGACTTGACCATGTTTTGGAGAGAATTATAGGAAGACTTTAAAATTTGTTCTAGAGAAGCTGTTGAGTGGTCAGAGCTCAGTGGACGGTTCTGTGCGAATTTAGAAGAACTAAGAATGTCGAGAGTATTGTAGACAATGGAGGCCTGTCTTGTGAAGTTTCAGAGTAAAGTTTGAGAGGCTCTTAAAGACTCTACTGGGACCATCAATATTTTGAAATAAGAATCACTACAGTGAAACTGCTAGTTCACTGGGACAATTGATACTATCCAGCCAGGGCTGAAGAATCAGCTATGATTAAGAAAACAAAGCATTTTAAGGCCAAATCTCCTGGGAAGTGTTTCCTTAGGATTAGCACACAGAGGCTGTCATCTTAGAGAATGCCAAGGCTATACCTTGAGCTGGCACTTGAACTTGGTAGTTTGTAATAGTCTCCAAAATGGCATGAAGGGGTCGTGGAAAGAAGCTGAGGCGTGGTCCTGTGTGACGGGGCTGCAGATATCAAAGAAAGACCAGGAGAGCCCATTGGTGAAGGTGTAGCTTCAGTTTCAGTAGAAGGCCCAGAATTGAAGGGGTCATGGAAAGAAATTGAGGCTTGGCACCATGTGTCAGGGATAGAGACCCTGAAGAAAATCCAGGAGAGGTTATTTGTGAAAATGAAGCCCAGCTGCTTCAAAGATCTCAGCATTTTGGAGATGCAAGTATCATGGGATGACTGCTAAGGACAGCAACAGCTGTGGAGTGGAGCAGGCCTGAGCCTAAAAGACAAGCTGTGTGTGCTGTATCAAACCCTTTGAAACTAGAAGCTTATGAATCCCAGAAGCCTAATACTGAACCTTACACTGCTAGACTTTGTGGAGTTTGGTTTTTATTTGATTTGATTGTTACTATGCCATGATTATTCCCTCTGAGAGTAAGAAAGTGTTGAACTTGTTTTTGTTTTGTTTTGTTTTTTAATCTTACAGGGCCCCACAGCTAAGAGACTTGAGCTTTTGGTTTTGTTTTGTTTTCTTTTTCGAGACAAGATTTCTCTGTGGTGCTTTTGAGCCTGTCCTGAAACTAGCTCTTGTAGACCAGGCTGGCCTCGAACTCACAGAGATCCGCCTGCCTCTACATCCCGAGTGCTGGGATTAAAGGTGTGAGCCACCACCGCTTGACTGAGACTTTGGACTCCTAAAGAGACTTTGGAATTTTAGAGACTGGATATTTTAGAGACACTTTGGATCTTTTTTTACTTTGAATATTTTATTTTTTGACCTCTATTTGTTTTTTATTTTGTTGATGGTTTACATTTGATGGTGTATACAATGGCATATACATTGGAACATCAAATACATCAACATTGGGTGGGAGTAATAACTAATGTCTGTCTTTTTTTAAGACAATTACATTTCTTTCCACTTGAAAACAGTTTCTGCCACTAGTAAACTCTCAGTTTTACAAAATGTAAGATTAAATTTGGCCTTTAAGCAATTAAGAAAACATTTAATGTATAAAAATAGAAGCATTTCCAAATTAAAAAAGTGAAAACTGCATTTAGTTATCAGACATTTTCTTTTGGTTTTTAACATTCATAATAGTAACATTGAATATGAAAATTATATAGGGAAACACACAAAGGTCCAAAGAATCCATTTTTGCTATTTTTTAAATTATTTAAATATTTAAATTTAAAAGACTATCACACTTGTTTACAATGAATTGTGGTCCTATCAATTCTACATTTCCTGTTTCTCACTACCCCTATTTTCCCTCTACACAGCAACCTGCATATATTACAACCACTAACTTTTATTTTAGTAACCCACTAAATCTACTTAGTGCTACACATATATGCATGGGACTATCCACAAGAGTATGGCAAGCTGTCAAAGTTCACACCTCTGAAAGAAAATAAATAAGGGGGCAAGCGTTTTAGTAGTAAATAGGAAAAGTGTTTGGTAAACAAGGGGAGTAGCACTAATTAAAATAACCACATGGTGGTGAGAGCAGTCAAAATGTCTATGGATTATATATATTTGATATATAATCAAATATATTTGGCTGGGAAGGAGCTGCTGGTTGGGATGAGTTCTAAAGATGGATGGCAGTGGTGGTTACACAGTATTCAGTGCCACTGAACAGGAACAAAGAAAAAGGTGATAAAGGGATGTGATTCGTGTTAGCTTCATCTTTCTTCAGTATCTAGAAAATAAATGAATTGATCATAGTAACAGAATTGTTCATTCTGTAGCAGTAAACACCTAAAGATTAAAATGAAATACAATTTTCAATAGTACTAGAAATAATAAAAAATTTAAAAGAATTTCTAAAGAATTTTAATGATTTCTCTGAAGAAAAGTTTTAAACTCTGGGAGAAGACAGACATTAACACTTTACAAAATCCATCTGTTTACATGGAAACCATGATGCTATTTATAAGCAAGAGTCCGGGTGGAACCTTGCTGGATGGCAGCCGCCCTTCCCTGAACAGCAGTTCCACCTTAACTTCATGTGGAGAGCAGCAATTCCACCTTAACTTCATGTGGCTTTATTCATGAAGCTTTCAGTTGCAAGAGTATATATTTGTAGATAGTTCGTTTCTTTTATTTATTTATTTATTTATTTATTTATTTATTTATTTATGATTTCTGCCTCCTCCCTGCCACCGCCTCCCATTTCCCTCCCCCTCCCCCGATAAAGTCCCCCTCCCTTGCCAGCCCAAAGAACAATCAGGGTTTCCTGCCCTGTGGGAAGTCCAAGGACCACCCACCTCCATCCAGGTCTAGTAAGGTGAGCATCCAAACTGCCTAGGCTCCCAGAAAGCCAGTACGTGTAGTAGGATCAAAACCCCATTGCCATTGTTCTTGAGTTCTCATTAGTCCTCATTGTCCGCTATGTTCAGCGAGTCCGGTTTTATCCCAGGCTTTTTCAGACCCAGGCCAGCTGGCCTTGGTGAGTTCCCCATAGAAAATCCCCATTGTCTCAGTGTGTGGGTGCACCCCTCCCGGTCCTGAGTTCCTTGTTCGTGCTCTCTCTCCTTCTGCTCCTGATTTGGACCTTGAGACTTCAGTCCGGTGCTCCAATGTGGGTCTCTGTCTCCTTTCATCACCTGATGAAGGTTAATATTCAGGAGGATGCCTATATGTTTTTCTTTGGGTTCACCTTCTTATTTAGCTTCTCTAGGATCACGGTAAAGAGACAAAACATTTCAAGTGTTTGAGTTTTAAAGACTGATGGACTTTTAAAGTTTGGAATATGTTTTATATTGTGATCATTGAAATTAGTATGACATACTTAGGACAATATGAAAAGAAGGGTTATGGTTTAACAGTGATGTATTTGTGTCTCTACTAGGGGTCAGTTATGCTGGCTTGCTTTGTATCAACTTGACAAAAACTTGAGTCAATTTGGAAGAGAGAAACTCAAATGAGGAAATGCCCCCACAAGACTAGCCTCTGAGAAAGTCTGTCGTGCATTTTCTTGACTTATTATTAGTGACAGACGACCCAACTCACTGTGGTCAGTTCCAGCTCTGGAATGATGATCTTGGGTGCCATAAAAAAAAGAAGGCTGTGCAAGCCATAGAGAGCAAGCCAGTCAACATTATTCCTCAACTTTTGCATCAGTTCCTGCCTCCAGATTCCTGCCTTAAATTCCGGACCTGATTTCCCTGAATGAGGGAGGGACTACAAGCTGTAAAATAAAATAAAACCTTTCCTCTCCAAACTGCTTTTGGTCATCATGTTTTACTACAGCAATAAAACAACAATAAGATTGTTGGCAATGATATTTGGCCAAATTCATACAAGGTAAACCCAAGAGTAGAACATTTCATAAAAACAGATGCAGCAATTGTCTATTATTTTTCATGGTCCTTAACTGTGAGCTCATAGCAACCTTTTCTTTGATGTAGAACACTAGATGCTATGTGCTGTTTTACCTTCATCTACCTATTCAAATGAGTCCCTTGTAAGCCCCATTCTTAGGTCTTAGAAAGTGCTGAGACAATCTGTTAGAATGTGATATTTTAATTTAGAGTTGGTGAAGGTCTTAGAGATATAAAACCAGACGAGACAAGAGCATTTACAGGTTGAAAAATGGAAAATAGTTTGAAATAAATTACCAATTTTCTTTGAGTGTTTTGAGCTCCTGATTTAAGCAGTCATCTTTTATCCTGATAATATTTTTCTCTTAATCACTCTCCTCCTGAGTCATTCTGATCTCTGAGACAAGGAGCCATTTTTTTTTTATTACAGAAGGTTATTGTTTCTCCCAATGTCAGAGGGGCCGGAGGTGGTGGACACACCTTAAGCTTTGGTGTTTTTGCTTATTGAGGAAACAGAAAGGGCCTGCCAAGAGCTGGTGCAAAACTGTTCTCCATCTTCTTAAGGGTGTCATTTCAAGCCCTAACAATTTTTAACAATTTCAGACATTTTAAAAATAGACATTATGGATATATAATGTCTTGTTTATTTATCTACCTGACTACCCCTCTACTTGTCTAATATCTATGCTGTGATTAGCTGCCAGAATGCAAATACAAAATCTCAAGATAGGTTCTAATTTAAAGGACCTCACATCATGAGAAAAGCACATGACAATTAGCATGATATGTTTTTCAACTACTACATGTATATAACATAGTTTTCTTCTTTTTCAACAAATATGAAGTATATTTGAAAAGCTAATGGTATTGTTTCTGTGAAATTCTTCCCCGTTTTCTCTAAAGGGGACATTGCAGTGGGAAAGATCTCTGGCCAAAGTTTGTTAGACAGGCTGCCAAAGTGTGAAATCAGCCAAAGTTTCTCTGGTGCCCTTCCAACCTCCCTGACTACTGGCTCTGAATTCTTCACTGTCTTTAGACTGTCTCAGGTTTTACAATTCTCCCCATAAAGCACCTCATCCCTATCTGCCTAAATCAGGAAGTTCCAAACTAGCTTTTGTACTTAATCTTTTCTCTGGTAAAAGTGTATCTCCATTCTTTTTTTTACAGGAGGCACTAGATTTGGAAAACTGATTCTCTGGACTTGGGCACTAATGCAGGAAACAATGCATCCCATTTTACCTCAGGTCAGCTCCACTATCAGTTCACAGAGGACAGTGCCCCTTCCCATACTAAACCTTTACAAATGTGGCCTACCAATTTCTTTTTTTTTTTTTTTAAGATCAACCACAAGTTTTATTTCGGTTTGCCAAAAAATTCTGTTTATACGGTTGCCCTTTAAAAGACATAGACTTAATCAGGTCCTTAAAATTCTTGGCCTCGTGTCAGCTAGAAACTGAGACTCAGTCCTTCCCACCCACACGCTTATCTTCATTTACAGTCTTTCATCCTTTATCCATGACGCCTCTGGCTGTGTGCCTGGAAGAAAACTCAGGGCCGTCCAATTAACTGACTTATCGGTAGGAGGTGAGCAGGCTTAAGTTAATCTGGGGGACACCAAAAAGCAACATCTAGGAAAGGACTGCTGAACCTCACAGGGAAGCCCCGACAACTATCACCTAGAGTGAACATTAATCCAGTCGAGATTAATTCATTCAGAAGGCAAAGGGCAAGTTTTCAAGATTCATTATTATGAACTGGCCCCATTCTGCCCTACCTACTTAGGGAATTTGCTAAGCTCCCAGGCAAGTCATTCTGAGTAGGCAATGGAGTATCTTCCTCAAGTCCTCCCCAAAGAGAAAAATCATCAAGTTGTCCCATCTTCACACCAACTCTAATCCTCAAATACAAGTCTAGGAAGCTGTTGTGATGTGCGACCACACATGAGTGCTTCTCTGACAAAGTACAGAGAAAGGAAGCGCGGTTCTCAAATGCTTCGTTCCGGTGATTTAATTCCAACACTCGATTTAACACATCTGAAATGGGAAATGAGAAAATTAAGAAATCAGAGCAAAATAGAGCTAAACGGAACTGTGGAATCTGGTGTTACTCTGTGGCTGTCTGCCAAGGCCTTCTCACGTCACAAATCTGAGCTCACTGCCATGCGGAAGCACTGCTGTGTGGTCCTAAAAGTCAATGGGAGTGCAGCTCTGTTGGCTTCGCCTCTGAAGCAGCATCCCATAGTTAGCACTGTAGACTTGGCCAGTCGTTAGCTTTCTCTTTCACCTTGAACATTCTAGAAGAGTGCTTGGGTTGTCTGTGATTCTTTCCTGCAACAAGAATCATTCTAGGTAATAGGAAGCAATACTGCAGGCAGTTTTACCCTGAATTACCAGAGGCTGCCTTGGAGTGAGCTCCAGTGAAAGGTCTGGGCTATGCTGCTTCTTACTGTTAAGCACAGTAATTAACATTGCCAGTATGAGGAAAAGCTCTTCTCAGTCACTTCTCTCAGATAAATCTGTGTGTGTGTGTGTGTGTGTGTGTGTGTGTGTGTGTGTGTGTGTGTGTGTGTTGTGTGCGCATGCTAAAATCTAGAGTATACAACATGCACTATATATTTAAATATGGGATATTATTATAATATATAGTCAAATACAGTGAGTATGCTAATATCTGGAGTATATAATATGCACTATATATTTAAATATGGGATAGTATTAATATAATATATAATCAAATACACACACACATATATATGTATGTGTGTGTGTATATATATATATATATATATATATATATATATAGAGAGAGAGAGAGAGAGAGAGAGAGAGAGAGAGAGAGAGAGTCTTGAGATGAGCTCTCACTGGCTTTGGGTTTTCAGCAATCTTACTTTCATAGTCTCCCAGCGGCTAGCATTATAGACCTGAAATTAAGTGTTTCTTTTTGCTGGGTTATATTTAACAAGTGTTCAGCTCTTGCTCAGAATCACTGTTCTAGTGATTCTGCTCGGTGCTAGCAACATGGAGATATAGAAGTTAGACTCCCAAAGAGTTCATATCTGGAAAAAGAAGAGAAATGTGCGTACAAATTATTCCAGCACTGTGTGATGTTTTTACTTCAGTGTGTAGTCCTCTAGACGTTTAAAAATTAAATCATGGGACCAGTAAAGGAGAAAAGAATGTAAGTCTAGCTACAGAGAGAGGGGAGTTTCCTTATAAAGTTTAATTGTATTGAGATGTGAGATGAGATTTGAAAAAGAAACAAATATTTGGCAGACAGAGCAACCACAAGCTATATCCAGCTGAAGAAAGGCAGTGAAATAGGCAGAAGGTCAGGAGAAAGATAAAATTGAAGGGTCAAAACATGAGCTAAAAGACCAATGACAGAGACTCTGTGTCCCTCTAAAGAGGGTTGAGAGTCAGGGAAAACAATGCTTGATTGATAAGTGGAAAGGCCAGACAGTAGTGGCATACACCTTTATTCACAGCACTCAGGAGGCAGAAGCAGGTAGATGTTTTTGAGTTCAAGATTAGCCTGGTCTACAGAGCAAGTTTCAGGACAGGCTTCAAAGCTGTAGAAATCCTTTCAAAAAAACAAGCAAACAAACAAACAAAACACCAGCAAAAAAGTGGAAAGGCCAGGTAGTGGTAGGGTACACTTTTAATCCCAGCACGCGAGAGGCAGGAGGCAGAGGCATGTGGATATCTGTCAGTTCAAGGGCAGCATGGAATACAGAGTAAGTTCCAGACAGCCAGAATTGAAACATAGAGAAACCCTGTCTCTTTTTAATCTTGTGTAGCCCAGCGTGGCCTTGAACTCACAGAGAGGTGCGTGCCACCACTCCCTGGCTTCTAGTGTTTTAGCTCTGCACTCTGATCTTTAGGTAAGCTTTATTTGTTAAAACATAAACAAAATATCACTACAAAAGACAGTTTGATTCTTCTTTCATCCTAGTTTTTCCCTTATTTTCTGCTATTCCTCGTTGTAGAAAGTATCTGTGAATAGAAAAATATTATTTTCAAAATCTGAGTTTAAGGCATTGTTTGTTCAAAATGAATCTATTCCTCCTACATGTTCTTCATAAAGCTTAGAATTAGACATATAAGAATTCAGCAATAAATTGTCAAATATTATAAGTTATAATTTATTTACAATGTAACCAACAAATGTTGTTCACACACTTACCACACAAGAATACTCCTCTTTGGGGCTCTTGGTTAGAAGAATAAATAAGGTATTATCATTAATATTTAAAACACAAAATGGATACAATGGAACCAGAGTAAAAATGTTATACTTCCTAGATTTAGATCTGAGTTTATGTGACATAAATATCTTTGTTAAAATTATCACCATCGTGGCTTTCCTTCCTCAAGCCAAGATGATTTATTTATATCTACATGATAGTCATGTCTAATTCTAAGATCTCCAGTACTCTTCTTGAAATCTAAAGCAATTCCCATTTCTGTAGTTTTACTCTTCCTATCTTAGATGGGTCACTCTTCTTGGCCTCTGTTTTCCTTTCTTTAATACAGAGTCAGGACTTTAATAATAATCGTCAAAAGTTAATGAATATTATGAAATATAGAACATTTATATGCAGCAAAATATCTGAGTACCTGGCAAAGTTAATTTACAGTTGGGTTGATCTATGTTTGAGGTAAAGTCAGTCCTATGATTTTCTTCCATTAGAACAATGTACCCCTCTCCATTACCTTCTAGGCATTAACTGAGAGACTTCATAATGGTTTCACAAAAGGAAAGAACCTGTAGCCTCTTGCTACACTACCCCACATTTTCTTCTCCACTCTGCACACCTGACTCAGCATA